AGTTTTTAGATATAAACAGTGTGGATTTGCATGTTGTATATCAGTTTCACTTCTAGAGCAATCATCTTTTGTTTAAGTCTAATGTTGAGATCCATTTTAGGACCGTGATTTCTAAGGTGCTTATCTATGCTGGTTGGGTGGTTGAAAGAAGTGTGTATGTAAATATTCTAGAGTATAACCAGCTACACACACACACACACACACACACACACACACACACACACACACATATATATATATATATATATATATAAAGTTGTAGCCTAGTTTGTTATCGAACTCCTCCTAGGATTTTGGAGATTGACCCTCATAACCATATATATTCTGAAACTACATTACCCAGGGTACTTAGATAAATATATTTTATTTGGTTCAAAGAGGGTCCCTGGAGGCACCCCCACTGAAAAGGCTTTCCCTTTCATTTAAATTAAATTTAAATTTGAACAAAGGAATGGCTCCTATCCAAAATATAGAAGGAAAAAACCTGAAGATGGAAGTCCGGTCGGCAAAATCAAAATGAGACAATATGGACGTCAAATTGAAGAATAAATCGCCAAGCAGTGAGTAGTACCTTATAATACATATTTGTTGTGACAATTCAACTGTCATATCAATATGTCGACTTATATATATATATATATATATATATATATATATATATATATATATATATATAAATCAGCGATTGATAACTGCTGATCATCCCATGACGACCATAACCGTGCTCTTCCCTGTCACATCTTATCACTCAGTTTCTTTATTTCATACTTCTATCTTCCATCTGGACTTTTCCTGTTGCATTTGCCTCCCCTTATGGTTACACATTAATCAAACAACCTTTTACTCACTCTCTCTCTCTCTCTCTCGCTCTCTCTCTCTCTCTCTTATCGCTTCTTCTTCTTATGTGCTCCGCCCACCTACATTTTTCTCTTTTAATCACTTCTCTGATATTTCTTATCTTGGTCCGTTCTCTTATTCTTGTTGACCTTTTTCTGTCGTTTCCAGTTATATTTAGCATTGCTCGTGCCACTTATTTATTTTCTACGTCTGATTTTTTGAATTTTTTTCCAAATGATTTTGTTACTTTCCATGCTTCGCAGCCCTACGCCATAGATAGAAATATAGATTCATTATGCACTTTACGTTTTAGTTATATTGATAGGATGCATTTCATTATACCTCTATTATTAGTAAATACTATCAACCCTATTGTTATACGTTGTTTATTGCAATTCTATGGGCTTTTTTTAATCTTATCAGTTGTCCAACGTATGCGGCTTATTGACATCTTCCAGTTCTCCATATTGTTTTGATGGTCTTTTTCGCAACATTACAATGGAATATTGTTTTATTTCTATTTATTTTAAACTTTAAATTCCACCTTTCCATTTTTAAATCATGCAGGATTTCTTGTAATTTATTCGATAATTCCGTAAAATGTCATTGGAAAATGATTTCAATCTTCCCCATATATGTTTCCTACCACCCTTTCTCGGTTTATTTTCCGGAAGAGACTTTCATGGTTTGCTGTAAATAGTTGAAGTGAAATCATATCTCCGACACTCGCTCCTTGTCCAACCTTTACTTTCTTTGTGTAGACGAATTATTGCCGGCCTGTTATTCTCGAGATTCTCAAAAGAATTTATCGAGGTTTCCTTAATATCGCGTTGCCATAGTGTTTGAAACAAGGCAGAGTCAAATTCTGTTTCATAGTCATCCAAAGATAAAATAAATGGTTTCTTCTATAAATTGTTGCTTCTTTTTTTTTTGTTACCATCAATTGATTTGTTGTTTCTAGATGCTCTATTGCTGAGTAGCCACGCCTCAAACATGTCGGTTCGAGTGGCTGTTTTATCTCTGTTGCTGTTTGTAAGGACTTTTAAGAATAAACTGCGCATTTTCGATAGAAATGTGATACGGAGTTAGAGGTCAAGGTTTTTATTAATATAATTATAGATCGGTACATGGATTGATTGACAGATTGATTGCTAGATAGATATGAACATATTGAGATAGATTGAGATAGGTAGATATGAACAGACTGGGATAGATAGATAGATAGATAGATAGATAGATAGATAGATAGATAGATAGATAGATAGATATAAACAGACTGATAGATATGAACAGACTGAAATAGATGGATATGAACAGACTGAGATAGATAGATTAATTGATTGATTGATAGGTATGAACAGACTATGACAAATAGATTGATAGATATGAACAGCCTATGACATAGATAACTAGATAGATATGAACAGACTTAAAAATATAAAATGAAATAATGACTTTCCTAAATAATGAAATATTGTTTTATTTTAAAACTGAAATAATATTCTATTTAAATAATGAAAATTTCTTTCATCTAAATAATTAAATTACAATGTCATATCAAATAATAGTTTTATGAAAATAACTAAATAATCTTCGTGTCATGTCCGAACCTGATTCTCTAACACTTGCCATCTTCTGCTGTAACTGTTTGCTTCTTTATCATTTGTCGATGTCATTGGGGGCCTTTTTACTGCTATCCATTAACCCGTTAAGAAAGTCACTTGTTTTCGCCGACCACTTTTACCTTCAATATACCATAATAAATAATGCTTTATCTAATTAATGAAGGAGGGTCTATCTAAATAAGGAATTGCTTTATCCAAATAATGACATAATTTCTGTCTGAATTTCTGTGATGAGGAATTATGATTATTCACATTACTATCTTGATCTTTGTTGTTGTGTCCAGGCCTTCGTCAGGTTTATATTGATCTAGGTAACCTGTATGGAATTCCAAACTCATCGCTATATTTAATCTGCACAGACTGTTTTCTTTCCACTGCCCATGTTCTTATTTTTAGTACTGCTCAATTATTACTCACCCTCTTTCCATTGAGTCCAAGTACACACTGCTCGGATCAGGGATTGAACTCACAATTACGATGTCACTAAATTCACGAACCAACGTTTTAATCTACTGGCCTATTGGACAATTCTCTGTGGCGAACTTGGAGTTTTAAATCTGTCCTGCCTGCTGATGAGTGCTGCTGCTGTCCTGTTGTTTTTCATGGTTGGCTGAAGTTTTATTTTCTCCTTTGTTACAGCTGCTGTTTCTGTGGGAGACCAGCATATCACCCGCTGAGCAGATATAGTCAACCTACTTAAGGGAATTACCCGGCCTATGGTAGAAACTCAGAACACTTTGTGAAATTGATCCAACGGGCTCCCATCCATAATAATCAAGTGGTAAGCATGAATGTGGTGAGCCTGTTCAACAGAGTTCTTATAGATGAAGCCCTGACAGATTGGAATCAGATCTCTCCCTGGAAGAACGTACTAACATTCCAATAGGTAATCTGATGGAAATGTTGAGGTTCTATGTACAAACAATATACTTCCAACTAGATTACGACATATGAAGGCTTGGCTATGGGGCCACCGTTGTCACCAGTGATAGCAAATATATACATGGTATATTTCGAGGAAATTCCTATAAGAACGGCGCCACTACAGCTAACAGCATGGCTGTGATATGTAGATGACACCTTCATATATTGGCAGAACCAGGAAGCTGTACAAATACTGCTGGTCATTCGCTCCAGTTCACAATGGTAGAAGAAAATAATAATCATCTAACCTTCTTGGATGTACCAGTAACTTGTACAGAGAATAAGTTCAATTTATCCGTATATCACAAGCCAACCTTCACTGGATAATACCTCAGCTTCAATCCCCACTATCCATACAGTGTGAAGAAGGAGGTCGTTTGTTAGCCCTGACATCGGGTAAAAATCGCTATGGTCTCATCGGAAAAGATTCAGATTAGAAGTCCATACAACACCAGGACAATATTTAGAAGCTCCACTATATAGAGAAATATCTACCAAGTAAAGCTTAACACCGACAAGAACAGACCAAGAACTATGTGTACTCCATTCGTTCCAGTTGTAGAAAAGAATATAAAGGCGAAAGAAGCCTCCTCTAAAAGGCTGGAGTAACACCGAAAAGACATAATGAAATCTGCGACGATGAAGTCGGGCATAGCTGATCATGTATGGAGGGAAAGATAGTAATCAGCCTCTGTGAAATGAAGTGGAAATACTGGACAAGGAACAACACTGGAAGGTTAGACGTCTGAAAGAATCAGCGCATATGAGGACCTCCTTAGTAGTTTTAGCGTACAAATAAATACTATATGGGAAATGTTTTCCACCAGGATCCCAATAAGCTCTGCATAGTTTTCAGTCTTGTGATTCACCAGGAAGCTGCGAAACACTGCGACAAAGCTGCTACACGTTTCTTTCTTCGTTCTAGAGAGCTTCTTGGGGAATTCCTTGCACTCCGTGATATTCTTTATTTGTGGTCCGATGAAAACAGCGGCTTTGAATTTTGCCGCAGACAGCTTAGGGGAGATGTCTTGAAGGTTCTTGAAAGTTGCAGAGTCTTTATCTAGGGCTGTGGTAAATTGTTTCATCAGGGCTGATTTTAAGTGCAGCAGAGAAAATAATAATTTCCGGTGTCCAACAGGGGCTCCCATTTAATGCTGTTCCTGCTCACACTGAACTCGGTCTACTGTGGCCAGTCCCACCTATGGTAGTGTGTCGCTGTAACCCTGCTGTCCCAAAGGCAAAGATTACACGGAGAGTTGGTAAAACCACCTTGTAGACGGCCACCATTTTGAAGTTTCCGTTAACCTCCCAATCGTACCCTTCTTATTTCAAGGCATCTAGCAAAATCTTGACACTGCTGTATTCCTCTTTGAGCTGCACCGAATAAGCCAGGGGAAGAGATGAATACATGTTCCTGTTATGAAGCAGCGCAGCTTTGAAGCTCCTGGTAAGCTGTCGATGAAGAGGCGCCACTCCATTTGCGATTCCATTTGCCTCAAACAGACCGGGTCACCTTGTGGCAGAAGCAAATCCCATCTTGACGGGTGAAAACGCTTGAAAAACACTGGTGACGCTTTCTCTGACCTGCAACTTGCACACTTTCATCTAACAAATTCTGCTTCTTGAGTCGCGACGTCAAAAGCTAGGCATTGGACTCTGTGAGACCAAGATCTCTGATCAGGTTATTGAAATCTTTTTGGTCGGGGTTGTATGGGTTTCTCTCCTTAGCTGCGCCTCTGTAATCTGGATCACTGACTTCTTCATCTTCTGAATTGTTGTTCTCTTCCGATGACTACTCTCTCTCTCTCTTTGGGGGTGGGTGGGTACGATAACTTAGGCTAGCGTGACAGATGGATGACAGATGGTCTGGATATATTATAGCAGACGCATTTTTGCTTGTTCGGCGTTTGAAAGGGTTCACCACAGAAAAGAAGCAATTGCTTCAGTGGTCAGTTGGTTCCTTCCAAATTCGTGGGATTGCGAATTTCATGGCACTATTTTCCCCTCTACAATCCTACAAAAGAGCAAAATAAAAATGTGAGAATAAAAATACGAATATATTTTAACCAGATTTATTGACAATTTCTAAAAAATTATCTTTTTGATTTTTGAAATTTCTAAAAATCGTGCGCTGGTTATGTAAAATTCTGATTTTGGACCTCAATTAATTTAGCAAATGCCATGAAAATACGGGATCTTTAATATTGAACATCCCTAATATTACGGATTATTATGGCACTTGCCAGTGGTCAGTAGAGAAATCATTCATGATACTGCAGACACCAGTGCGCAATTGTTGAAACATATTTAATATATATTTTCAATAACACTGGTTTAAAAATAGTAAAAATATTTAAATTAAAAAATCCCCAAATTTTTACACTTAAAAATTCCATTATCCAAGTAAGCAAAACTTTCCATTTTACCTTCTAGAGTTCTTTTCAGAGTTCGCAGGTGAAATGAAGTGGTCAGGATTTGTCTGGATCCCCGAAAAGCATGCTGAAATACGCCTTGAAGACCTCACATATTTTAGCAAATGTTGCTACAGAGTACATTTTCGATCTTGTCTTGATAAATTCGTCACAGACAGCAAAATGCCTCTGCCGAATATTGCAAACTCTTGCTGCCAACTATGACGAATGCAGCTATTAACGACTACTTGTTTGCATTTGGAGAGCTAGAATTAAAATGAACCAATGAGCTTACGTACCTTGTATTTATACTGCTATTTACGTTGTCGGAAGACTCTATAAATTCTTGAAACTTACCGGAAGTTCTTGAAACTTCTAGAAAGTTCTAGGAATTTCGAAAGTCTTAATAAAGAGAATGTTTTCAGGTAGGGGCCAAACCCCGATCTCCCCTCTGACTGCACAGCCACAGAGAGCATCAACCCAGTAAAATTTTTAAGCCGACATTTGCTTTATTCAAATAATGAATTACTTCTTTATCTAAATAAGGCAGTAACATTCATTAAACAGAAACAATTTCTACCGAATGATTGTTATTACACGAAACTCTGAGTAGCGGATTTTGAGATTATTGAACTAATAACACACACACACACACACACACACATATATATGAACTAAATTACTATGAAATAACGCATTATACAAAGAATTAAATAATAACTGCTTTGAATTATGAAGTTATTAATTATCTAAATAAGAAGATAATGATTTGCATCATAAATTCATTTTTTAAAATAAAGTTTTATTTTTATATTTCGTGATAATTACATTAATTAAATTATTACATTATTTCCATAAAGCACTCGTCTGTTGTTTACATGAAAGATGATTGGCTAATTTAGGGAAAACATTTTTCGGTATTTCGATGGTGGAATATTTCATTATTTAAATAAAATATTATTTTATTTTTAGATCGATCTTTTAATTATTTTGATGAATGATTTCATTATTTAGATCATCATTTAGACGGAACATTAACTCTGTCAATTAAACATTTACGTAGACAAAACAAGAGTTCATGATTAATCGTTCCTTTTAAATAAAATGACGCTTAATAATTTTCATATAACATTAGTTAATATTTTATCTTAGGAAATAGAAAAATTGTAAATAATAAAAAGCGAATTAACGAAAGGAATCATTTATAGAAATTATGCAATACTGCTTCATAAAAATGAAGTCGTTTTTATATAAATAATTAAGTAATACTTATTGAAAAGACAAAGTAATGCTTTTTCTAAATATCAAAGTAATTTTTCATCTAAATGAGGAAGTATATAATGTTTTATAAAAAAATGAATTATTTCTTCGAAGTTGCCAAGTAGCGGTTTAATTAGGTTGTTAAATGTTTACAAGTGGTTATCATCGGATAACTTCCTAAATGCAAATATACACAAATTTATGGCCTTTTAAAAATGCATGCAAAGGTAATTATTACAAAAATATATTTTCCATGTACGGATACAATTTTCTATCTGTTAAAATAAAATAGACAATATTCACAGAGTTCATAAGTTCTTATCAGAAAGTTTTCTGTCTTTACACTTTTATCGAGACAAAGGAATTCATTCCAGAATTGTTTTTTGATTTCTGATTGGTTCACAGATTATTTTTTTTCTTCACCTACATTTTAAAATGATAAA